TCAGATTAATTAAACTGTTAAATAGAAAGAAATTAATTAAATTGTCAAACCTGATTTTTTGGAGGTATCTCACATTAAGTACAAAAACAGTTTTAATTTTCATAATCAATCTATAAGATAATTTTTTAGGGCTCTTAGTGGTGGCCTCATATAAAAGCAACAGTACAAGCTGGGAAATTGACGATTCATGCATGCATGCTTTACTTTGTCGGATGTATAAGATGTCCTTTACTAAGAGAAATCCTATATGGATCTTACTAAAACCATTAATAATTGTTCTTCTTTTTTCTTGGTGTTTTCTCTCACATTAGGGTGGGAAAGGATGGGAGGCCATGTGCTTAGTGACCTCTTTGGTCCCTTCAATAAATAGGGTTTTCATTATTTATATGAAGGGTATGCATTGGCCAAGTTGGTGGAATCAGCAGAGAGGGCAATCCTTTTGTCTTTAGCTTTGGGTGGTTCTTCTGTCTTTGGTTGACATATAATGACATGTAGACAAAGCCCTAATCGAAGGGGAGGAAGGACCACACTTTTCTAATTGTTTTATTATTATTATTATTATTATTATTATTATTATGAAAAGGGTTCACATGGTTTTGCTTTGTATTTTAGCTCATAGAATTGAATCTTTCTTTGATTAAGGTAGGTGATGTGGTGGTTGTGTCCATAAAGCAAATCATGTAATTTTAATTAATTAGGATTTTCTTTAACAAAATTATTAGCAATTTTTGGTCCCATCCTTTTATTGTCATTTTCCTTGTTCTCCTTTTCAGATAGGGTTTGTTGCAGATGACCTCTTGTTCCACAATTATCATTCATTTTTTGTTCAATCCTTTGCTGATCCTAAAAAAAAAAAAAAAAAAGGTCCATTTTTTGTTCAATTCTATAGTCTAGAATGATTTTTTTTTTTTTTTGGTAGAAGAATGATTATGTTAATATTAGCATTCATATTGTGTCAATCTCACCATAAGGGGTTGTCGACTTTACCCCCTTAACCTTACGATTTTATCCTTACGAGGACACTCATGGATGAAAGGGTTAACTTCTACTTAAAAATAATTATGACTAATGTAACAGATATCCTAATTAAATTGCATTGATATGTACGAAGAGCAGGAACTTTTTCCTCATGGGAAAATTAGGTAAATTATTTTTTTCCTAGTGATTTTCCTAGAAAATGAACTGGCGGTATTTATTATAGTATTTTCCCTCTCAGTCAGTCAACTGTTTCTAGTTTTAGAAGTATGGAAAACAAAACTTCTTTTCTTTTTGGCGTTAAAATTTACTTTAGATATACGAATCCCATGTGTCTGAGTTGTTTCTTTTTTTTTTTTTGAACATGGGAAATTTGGATGAAGAGAGTAATTTTTAAGTAATTGATGAGAGTAGAACTCTTAACCAATTGATTTCAAATACAAAGACTTTGGGATGAACCATTAGACCCAATGAACTGATTTCATATGTCTGAGTTATTTTAGTTGATTCATTCTTTGAATTCTTGATAAATAAACTGAAAACAATGGAAAAAATAATGGAAATTAGCTAGAGTTCATCACATGGGAACAAGAGGAGGGAAAAATTATACTCAGTGCTTGGCTTTGTCTGCACTCCAACCTTTGACCTTTCTATATATATAAATTTTATTCATTGGAAAATGAATTTCAAGGTTGTTCCCATCTGCTTCATTCATGTGTATCTAATGTTAATACAAGCCTGTTAAGTACTGCAGACAGGTCCCCTTTGTTCATGGAATCTTTTTTTACTTTCCCTGCACTAAAAAGCAACAGCAACACAGACAAAGTTTGGATGACTTCTTAACTCCATCACAAATTGCCTAAATCTTGGGAACACTACTTTCATACATTACTCTGATTATTACACTTTCCAAAGTTCTCTTCTAGGGACACTGAAGCAGAAGATCTTTTGGAGGTTCATAATTTTCCAAATGTACTGGTTGCTTACTTTTCTAAACTTTCCAACTACTTTTCAAGCATTCACTTAACAAAAGTTTTAAATTTTTCCACAACCAAGCCGTAATTTGCGCGAACTAGCTTTTGTAAATACTTATTTAAGATATATGGTCATTGGGGCAACTGTATATTAATTGTATTTGTCTCTATATTTATAGAGATTTGGCAAGAGTAATTAACTGAATCTTTAATTTTCTCCATCTAACAGAACTTGTTGGGGTCCATCTTAGTGTGATTATGTTTCTTGGCTTCCTATGTTGATCATGTCATTATTGAACTTAATGAAGTTCTTAATGTATGACCATGGCAAACATGTCTGAATAATTTCAAAAATCGACATATAAGATAATGATTAAGATGCATGCATTAACTAGAGTGACAAGCAATATGATTACTTGCCATTTTAGTGAAGTTTTTGAGCAACCGTTGATTTTGTGCCGCGTGTTGCAGGGAGCTTCCATGTTTTCTACCTAGTGCACAGCATGATTCCATGCCACTTGTCCTGTCTGAAATTAATAGTTTCTACTTGATTTAGGCTGCACCTTAATCTTTTGAGTTTTGATTGCAGAAATTAACATATATGGGGCCTCTTTTGCTGTGTGAAGAATTTTTTTGGCCAATGTTGTGTAGAAGATTGACAGAACATATAGATAAGGTCAAATCTTATTTAAGCATAGAGTGCAATGCCAATGAAGTTTTGGCGTAGTAGTAGTGCAGGATTTCTGAAACTTTGAGGTTTCACATTGGAATCTCTCCGTGACCCTTCTAACTCTACATTGGTTTCATGTAATTTAATTCAATAATTGGCTTGTACAAAAAAATTTTGACATCGTTAACAATGTGATTTAGTAGTAGAGTTACATGTGGCCTTAACCACATATTTAGGATTCAACCTTTAGTCTCTACATATCAAAAAAAAAAAAAAGGGTTGAAATTGTGATATACATACACTTGAGAGAATATAAGAAACCCTATGTGTCATTGATGCCCACTAGCAAGAATCAGTCCCCAGCACTTGGCATGGTTGGCCACCCCTGATTAGCCTGTAACCTTACAAACTCAACTAAGAGTTTGATCTCATCTTCCTGCAAACGTGATCCAAATGTGCATTCCCCCCTTAATGTGCAGTTCTGACCAAACCCCCGAAAACAGCCATAACAAACGTTCTTCGAAAAAGCAAGCTAGGGGTTAGTAAGTGAAAATTTTAAAATTTATTGTTGAATGCTTGGTACTTACTGGAGTATGTCACACAGTACATCTCATCTTTTGCGTCAACTTCATTTCTGTGGTGCAGTCATTGGTGTACTCAACTTTAGAGGTCATGCACAAAAGTATATTTGGATTTTGGAATACCAATTCTATTGATTTGGTCATGTCACTGCAAGAGGGAGGTTAAAACCGAATCAACTTTAAAACCAACTCTGTCATAGAAGCCGGAGTGCAGGACTTGAGACAAAATTTGCTTAGTCATCTATATCTACATGCAAAACAGAGAAAACTATTGAGAAATAGAAGTTCTTTGCTGTTAAATTTTCTCCGAAGTATTGTTTTCTTTCACATTAACTTTAAACGTTCAATTTTTTCTCCTCTCTCTAAAATTTTTCACTATTGTTTCTGGCTGCAGCGGCTTTCAATAATATTAAATTCAAGGACACATAGAGAACAGTTGCTAGCATTCACAACCATATATTCTGTTGTTGATAATTAACTAAGGATATGACCTGAATACCTTTCTAGGTCCTTTCTAAAGGTTGTTGTACCCTGGATGAAGAACAAAACCGTTCATTAAAGAAAAAAAGATCAAAAGAAATAATGATGATGATCGCTTGATGAATAACAAGAGACTCACTGGTTGAATTATATTTCCACCTTCATCATGACATCCTTCCTGTATCTATAGTTTGCCCAAGTGACACTGCAGTGTGAAAGAAGCCAAGAAATTTTAAGTAAACAATGGCTTCTGCACTATGGTCATATAATTAATCATACTTTCTCAGGGTACAATGGAATCCAAATTTGGGGGAAGAAGAAAAAAGTGGTGGGTAAAACAGCAGTGGCATTAACTTGCATCTCTTCATGATGAAAACATATTTACACAAATGAAGTCCAACTCTTCAAAAAAATGAAAATTACTGCTACTGAACTAGTAATGACATTGTTACGCAACAGAATTCACAGAACTTAAGTTAAATTTCAGCCAAAACTATTCATGGAATTTGACAGTTCAGCAATTAATCCATATTTCACATGCCTACTAGCTTCAACTAGAAGAAATTCATCTTGCCTATGACAAGAAAGCTCTTGTACTAACTTCATCTAGTGGCAGGACAAATATACTCAATGATGGCAATGTGGTGAATTCAACTAGAAGCAAGGGCATGAACATCTAAGTAAAAACTTGTCCTCTCTAGGCTATAAATCAAACTCAAAGGTGCTTTAATTTCTCTATTTACAGCTATCAATGCAGCAACCAGAGATGGCGCCAATTTCTTTGAACCCTTACATGTTTTGCTGCATATATAGGAACTCCTGCATGTTGTCCATTACCCCTTTTGTGTTACCCTTTGAAAAGGAGGGAAACAAAAAAAAAAAAGAGACTCTAGTTTCATCAACTTTGAGTTTCAAGAACTCAGAGACAACAGATAAGGAGTGAAACACATACATACCTCTGCCAAGAGGGAACAGGTTCTGTTACTCCAACCAGACACCACAGAAAGGAGCTCCACTTTTCTTTTCTTCTGTATCAAAAAAAAAAAGGGAGAAAATTTCCCCTTTATTTCTTTTCTTCCCTGGTTTCTTCTTCCAGTTTGGGAGGTGGGTCTGGTCCAGTAGTTGTGGGTCCATATCCAACTAACAAACCCCACGTTAGAAGTATCTCAGAAGCCGCTTGGCATAACATAGTTCAACCACGTCGTTGGTAGGCCCAAGAAATCTAGCTGTTACCGGTAGCCGATGGAGAGAGATTTGATCAGAAGCAATCCAGTCTACAGCCTCTAAATCACGACCCAATTCCTCAACTCTTCATCAAAAAAAAAAAAAAAAGGAAAAAATGAAAACAAAGATATGATTTCTGGGACAAAGGAAAGAAATTTTTTTTTTTTTAATCAGTGAGAACTTGGGAGATGAAAGAATAATTACAATATTACTGTACTGATAGCTTTGATAAAAAAACCAAAAAAAAAGATACACTTCTAACGCGGTTAAACGGCAAGTGCAAGGAAAGATCTCTTTTTTTTTTTTGAATAAAGTTACAAATATGGGGAGGGTGACTCTGACTCCCAACCCTTAAATTAGTAGGATACACTTTACAAACCCACATAAAATCGTTGGACCGTGAGTTGCAAGTGCGCAAAGAAAGATCTTTTTTTTTTTTTTTTTAACATATTTTGTAAGGACAGGTTTTGAACCCTGTCGAGGGAGGGGGAATGTCGAGAGAAGGAGAATGCACCGTGGCTATGTCACTAGACCTCAAGGGCCAGTGCGCAAGGAAAGATCTTATTGTTCTTGATAAAAATAGAAATTTTTATTGATTGTAGAAAAAAAATACAATTTTTTATTTGTAGAGTTTTTGTCTTGATTAATAATCGAATCCCATGTCAGCTTGCTTCTCATGCTGTGTAAAGTTGGCTTCTTTTTTATTTATTTTTTTTTTTTTATATTTTATATTTTCCCCTTGTTTTAGCTCTTTACGGTTCTTGTACAGTCATATTCCCAAATCCCAAACCCTAGCTCCATTTTCTCTTGCAGGATTTAGAAACAGAGGATTCTAATTTCTCCTTAAAGTCTCTGCCTTTTTCTTAATTGGTGAGGGAATTTAGTGTCTTGATTAGTCATGGCGATGTTATTAGAGGATATTGTGCGGGCGGTGGAGATGTGGTTGAAGCTGAGGAAGAAGCAGCCGCAGATGTATGTTGACCCGAATCTTGATCCCGTTCTTTTGGTGCCTGGTATTGCTGGGTCCATTTTAAAGGCTGTGGATAATGAGAATGGCAGAGATGAGCGGGTTTGGGTTCGGATTCTCAGTGCCGATTACAAGTTTAGGACCAAGCTCTGGTCTCGGTTTGATCCTTCCACCGGTAATTTTCCCATATTTGAATGAATGCTTAGGCCTTAGTAGAACTCATTATGCCCAGTTTGACTTTCTTTTTGTAAGTTTTAATCTTGGTTTTTTTGCTTGCTAAAGAATCAAGGAAAGAAACTCTCTGTCTGTTAAATTTTGTTTAGGTTGTAATGGAGGTTATTTTAATTAGTTTGGTATCATCTGTTGTTAAATTTCAGAGTGTTCAATGGATATTTTGAGTGGAATTTATGGGGTGAAGGTTCTTATGCTTGTTTTGGGTTACTGAGGAAGTGATAAAAAAACTTCATTGTTGTAATGCTTGGCTATTTGGTTGGTTAGTCGTAGAAAATAGGAATGGGGCAAAAGGGGAGGGTAGAATTTTCCTGGGGTATTCTTTTTTTTTTTTTTTGTAAGATTATGTTAGAATGCCAAGAAAATTTTGAAATTTGTTGTTTTTATGGTTTCTATGAGAATTATTACTTTTTGAAGGTGTGATTATTTTATAGCTGAATTTGATAGCATGGCTTCGCCTATTTTAAAGTACTTTTGAGCTTTTGTTTACTTAGAATGATTACATGAAGGAGGATGGAAAAACTAAAGAAGCTTTCTAAATTTGTATGCAATTATGCATTAATCGGATATCAACCAATGTCAGCAGACTCAGCACAATACTGCTTGCTCATGTTCAGCATCTAACTATGGGCATTGAATAATTGCTTTAAGTTTCTATATTGTATTATTACATGCTTTTTCATAAATTTTGAATTCATCTCTTAGGATGCTTGATATTTTATGCAAAACAGGTAGGACAGTGTCCTTGGATCAAAAAACAAGTATTGTGGTTCCTGAAGATAGATATGGCCTCTATGCAATTGATATGCTGGACCCTGACTTGGTACATCATATCTCCTTTCCTTTTGATCTGTAAACTTTGAGAATCTTGCATTGGAAATATCTTTCTGGTTTTACTGTTATGATTTTGTTTTGTCTATGCAATACTACAGTTTGAACCCTGTTTTTGGTAGTTCCTAAGATAGAAGCTATCAAGCATAAATTGCATAATGCATGAAGTGTTTGTAAGGAAGAAAATTATAGGTTCTAAAATGCTGAGATATGCCCTCTTGTGAGTGTTCTCTATGTTGTAGATCTTCTGAAGCCATCATTTTTTTAGCTTTAGTTTTCATGAAGTCTGTGCATTTTAAATTGTTAACCATTGATGGGTTTTGACTGACCTTTCCTTTCCTGTAGATCCTTGGACGTGATTGTGTTTATTATTTTCATGATATGATTGTTGAAATGCTCCAGTGGGGTTTTCAAGAAGGGAAAACTCTATTTGGTTTTGGGTATGATTTCCGTCAGAGTAACAGGTAAGCTTTTTTTGATAAAATAGATTTTATAATTTATATTTTGAAAGTTACATTCTGTTCTATATATATTTTCATTTAAACTTGTCCATTCATCCTCTTTTGATAATGGACGGTGTGGCCATGATTCTATATTTGTAATTGCTATTGCACTCAATGGTAAATATTTTGGAGGCTGATATCTGTGTTACCGAATTACATATAGTTATACATGGTATAGCTGGACAAATGATGGTTAAAGAAAATATTTAACTTTTGAAATGCTTCTGGAATCTATTTGTAGATCAACTTCACATTTGTCTACCTTTAAGATGTTGTCTGTGTTGCATGGATACCTTATTCTGCTCTCAGAGTTTTAGGCTTTGAGGATGTTGACTCTTTGTCTGTCCTTTAGGTTGCAGGATACATTGAAGCGTTTAGCAGCAAAATTAGAGTCAGTGTATGAAGCATCTGGAAGGAAAAAGATAAATATCATAACTCATTCTATGGGAGGCCTCCTTGTGAAATGTTTTATGTGCCTTCACAGTGATGTAAGGGATCCATTTCATACTCAAGCGTCATTCTTCCTTTCTTAAGGTGTTTTGCCATTTTCTTGTGATGGTGCCGAGTTTTGATGAAATGTTAACCATAAAACATGCACTTTATTGCAGATTTTTGAGAAATATGTGAAGAATTGGATTGCAATAGCTGCACCATTCCGTGGTAAGTGGTCTATCTAACTTCTGCTGAGCAGTAGGTATTCTTGCTGGTAGTAAAAATTACTATCTTCCATGTCCTAACGTAAAGTCCTGCCTTAACAGAAAGTGCTGACCAGGGATTCTTATTTTGAGCCAATCGAATTTAATTTTTGAAATTTGAAAATCACAAAAGACTTACCATGTGCTTTACAAGGGTACTGCTGAAATTCAATGACAGTACTTGCAGTTTTAGTGATGATCCAACTGCTTTGGCTTTCCCTTGAATACTCTTAAAACTTTTTTGTTTTATGTGTAAATTTATTTCATAATTTAAAATATATGAGTTTCTGTTATTTAGTAAGGCAATTTTAAATTCAAAACAAGCTTGTTGAACTTACTTGTTAGTTTAAATTTCCGTCAGAATTCTGAAGATGAAAGATCTCAGTAGTTAGAGAAAATTGCTTAATTTTGGTTATATTTCAAGTTTTATGGCACTGGGCTGTAATTTTGAACATGTCTAACAGGTGCACCTGGATATATTGCTTCTACATTTCTAAATGGAGTGTCTTTTGTTGATGGGTGGGAGCAGAACTTCTTCATTTCAAAGTGGAGCATGCATCAATTGGTATGACCCTTTATTGTGCAGACTTTGGTTTAGATGTCTGTAAGGACATCTTCATACCTTTTGCCACATTCTTTAGGTAGTTGTGTTTTCAAAAAAATTATTTTTATATTTTGTGTTTGTATTTATAATCATTTGCTAGTTGTCCCTTGTACTGTCTTTTAGCTTGTAAACTTTTTGTTTACTTCTGATTGGAAAGATCTTCATGTGCTTACTCATCCTAATTACAGTGAGCTGCACTTAGGATATGCAAGTGATAGTATATTTAAGATGTCTATTATGGATTTTCTTTTTGCCCAATCTAGTTCTTTTCTTGGTTATTACTGGAGCTTCATAATTTTTTCTCTTGATGTGTTTTTCAGCTGATTGAGTGCCCATCAATATATGAGTTAATGCCCTGTCCAGATTTCAATTGGCAACACGTTCCAGTTTTAGAGATCTGGAGAGAGAAACAAGATACTGAAGGAAACCCTAGGATTATTCTAGAGTCTTATTGCCCAAATGAGAGCATAGAAATTTTTAAGGAAGCTCTTTCAAGTAACATAGTAAGTTTTCAACCTTTAAAATGTGTTGATCCTGAGTCTCATGGGTTCATGTCCAGGAAAAAAAAAGGGGGAAAAAAAGAAGTAGAAGAAGAAGAAAATAAGGCTTTGGGATCTCAAGTAAAATATTAATCTGGAATAAAATGGGTTAAGGATATTTAAAGTGTGTGGTTTTTTGGGGCTGAAGTACTTGTACCTAATAATTTCAGGTTGACTATGATGGGGAGAGCATTCCTTTGCCTTTCAACTTGGAGATCTTGAAATGGGCTAATGAAACACACAAGTTGCTGTCTAATGCTGAGCTTCCTTCACAAGTTAAATTTTACAATATATATGCAACAAGTCTTGAGACGCCGCATAGTGTTTGGTATTCTTCTGTTACATAGCATAACCAAAGTGCTTAATTTATTTCAGGATTTTATGGCTGCAGTTAATTGGTTTTTGTTTTTCTGGTAATTGGTTTATATACCTAATTATTGTTTGCTCCGCAGCTATGGAAGTGAGGACACTCCTGTGACTGATTTACATCAATTGCAGTTTTTCCTGGTAAGTGGTGCAGTAGTTCCTAGAGGCCATTTTATGTTCAATTACATAATACTCCAAAACCCAGCCCACCCTCTCCCCAAAAGAATTGATTTTTGGGATTTGTTGATGGGTTGCTGAAGGCCTTCTCCTTATTTTCAGCCCAAATACATCTGTGTTGATGGGGATGGAACGGTTCCAACAGAATCAGCTAAGGTTTGCTAATATTTCTGTCTATGACCCATTTTTATGGTTTACTAGATTGATTGTTCTATTAGGATGCAAATGGAAAAGAGGTATTTATGGTTTCTGATTGTCATGGAACGTGTTTATCAAAGGAAAAATATATTCGTAGACAAAGAAAAGGGAAAATTATGGGGAATTTATTGGCTATGAAGAGTGACTATGATCTGTTACATACAAATTATCAAGGACATATAATGGAGCATTGTATTTTCTGTGTTAATTTCACAGGTTTCCTTTTTCCTGAAATGGTCTTTGATATTATCAACCTGCTCTTTCCTTAAATTTCAGCGGTCAATTTCTCTAATCTTTGTTTTCATTACTCAGGCGGATGGGCTAAATGCAGAAGCAAGGGTTGGTGTCCCTGGTGAGCACCGGGGAATACTTTCAGATCATCACGTGTTCCGAATTCTTAAGCACTGGCTGAAGGCTGATTCAGACCCTTACTACAATCCATTAAACGATTATGTGATTTTACCAACAGCATTTGTAATGGAAAGTCACCAAGAAAAAGGCTTACAAGTTACATCACTCAAAGAAGAATGGGAAATCATTTCAGAAGATCAGGACAACCTGGACGATGCGGAAAGCAGAAAGCCTATGATCAGCTCAATATCCATATCACAAGGTGGTGGAAAAAATCAATCATCTCATGCAGAGGCTCGCGCAACTGTCACTGTTCACCCACAGAATGAGGGTAAGCATCATGTCGAGCTAAATGCCATCAGTGTATCTGTTGATGCTTAGAGTTCGACCATTTACTAAACTCAATCAATGTGAGGGAAGTCTTCTGAGTCTCTATGCTTTTCTTGTGATTGGAAATTGGCATGTCTTGTTAGAAGATTTCATAAATTGCAAACCCTGTTCATATGTGATGTAAATATCTTGTACATGCTTCATGTGATGGTGTAATAATATCATTATTTGTTGAAGTTGTCGGCATCATATATATTGTATTTTTGATTGCTGAAGAAATTAAGTAAACGTAATGCAAAAGGGCTCAAAGTCTAATATATCTACATTGTCGTATCAACTTAAAACAAAGTCTGAATGAAGGGAAAGGAAACAGAAAATACAGATGGTGATAGAAAAATTCATTGAGAAAATCAAAAGCACATGTCCAGGAGACAACAGCAACAAAGGGCAGCACAGCTGTTTACAGAAAAAACATTCATTAGCAATTTAATCATGTCAAAGCATCAGAGCATTACGACAGATGTATCTAGAAAAAAAATGCTTACCATCCTTGCCAGAATCCATCACCCCCACGCTTGGATTCTGGTGGATGAGAATGTGATGTTAGTTGTTGTGGGAGTGGAAGTTCAACTTTTACAGGGTAAGCAACCGGCGGCGAAGCAACGTAAGGACCCTGAGGGTAGCCAGCTTGGACTGGAGGTGGCGGATAGGATTGAGGCAATGGAGAAGAATTCACTTGGCCAGGTGGTAGTGCCGGCAGCGGAGGGTAGGAAGCAGAGGGTGGAGGATATGCCACTGCCACTGCAAAATTACACTAACCCATGAAACTACTCATAAAACTTCCCCTGGATTTTGACATAAAAACAAAAAGGCTTAGAATTTTTGTCATTACCTGGACCTGTAGCTTCTGGATGATTGTAGTGAGCCATAATTAGGAGGAATTAAGATCTCAGAAAAGCAAAAATGGAGTCCTGATAGAACTGTCTGGGAGAAGAAGGTGAAGATATGGAATGGAAGTGTAGAAGTGGGGAACGGTTAATAACTTTTCATGATGGGTGGGGGTTAACTGCTGAAGGGCATTGATTTTTTCCTAAGGATTGAAATTTTTTTAAGGTAATCTCGGAAAATAGATACACAAAGGAAGACTGCTCCTAGAGATGATGTTATCTTAATTACTTCAAGTTCAGCACTCCATGCATAATGCATTGCCAAAAGAATAATGATAGATAGTACCAATTTTTAAGATAAATTTATGGTAATCATTAATTACATGACGTGAACTCTATATTAAATTATTTAATTAACTGTTAAAATAATTTCGTTCTAAAATTTAGTTTGAAAAATTATCATTCCAACCAAAAATATTATTTTAAAAGAAACATTGATAACGTCTTCTACTTTGGATTAGATTTTTTTTTATTTTTTTGAGAATGTTTTGGGCTATAAATTTTTGGGTTTAATAGTCATGCATCACATGTCATCTATGTTGAGATTAAAAAATTTTTAAGAGAAATTATTTCTTTATTGCATCCTAACACTAATAAATTGAGTGCTTATATGTTAAGACAATGGTTTATGGATCAATAGTATATTTTTGATTTGAGAGGAATGAAAGGAATAAGGAAAGAGGATTTTTTGACTAATTAAATTATAATATTTAAAACATTATAATTTAATTAGTTAAAAAATTTTCTTTTCCATTCTCTTCATTCTTAAAACAAACATACCATAAGGAAAAGTTAAAAATTAATGTACATTTACCATT